CCTTGCAGCAGGAGGCTCCTGCACCACTCGGTCCAGTGCAGAACTCAGCTGCCGTGAATGCCAAGCCCTCTGCCGAGGTCTGGGCACAGAAGTTCCCTGTGGCTGGATCAGCCTCAGACCCACTGTGGTCACAGAGTTTGCTGTAGGCTGCGGGAGCCACGGCCCCTGGCTCTCCCTGGGCACTGGCAGGGTGCCCAAGGTGCACACAGGTCCTGACATGAAGCACCTTCGCTTTGCACAGTGTCCATCTGTCCATACGGATCTAGGGCAGCAAGCATCCCGTGTTTCTTCTGGATGGATGCTGGCAGCGACACCCTGGCAGACCCTGGCTGTGGCCCACTGACCCCGGCCAAGCTGCCTGTGGACCTGCTGACAACTGGGATGCCATCACCTGCCTTTCATTGCAACAGCTCTCTAACTGTTCCCCGCTAGCTGCTAAAAGAAAAGAGATGTGCCTGTTTCCTGGGCATTCATGGGGAAGCACTGAACACTGACTTGGCACGGGATGAGAGTGGGATGCATTAAACCCTGACCTCTGCCTCCCTGTGATCGCTGACCAGGCTTGCTCCCAAGCCAAATGCATGTCTTGGAAAAGTCCATTGCTGTAATAAGTTATTTACAAGTGCCCATCTGACTCGGTGCTGCTCTTTCAAGTCTCTGCTGTAGAACAAAGATACATCATGGCAGCACAATGGCAATTTTGGAGTAAGAGTTTAAATGTACAACTTTTTGTATTGTAAAATACTGATTCCCTGACCCCACTGAAATGCAATTGCTATGGTAACAGTGCTGTTGCTCTCAGCCTGGGTCATACTTGTGCCCTGACCTACTTTGCACTCCCTTGGATTGATCTGGCATTTGCTAGTTGCACAGAGCAGTAACTAACAGCAGTTTTTGTGCTGTCAGCTAATATTTTTTATTTGTGCATAAGTAAAATAATTCTTGTCCAAAGATTCATTGGTTTTAAGGCACCACACTGTATTGCTGGGATAAAGAGCACAAAATACATTTGGGACAGACTTGAGTCCAGATCTTTGCTTCAGCTTCTTCCAATCAGGTAAATCATTTTCTGGAGCTGCGTCTGCGGAGTGGCCATGTGGTTGGAGAGAGAGGCCAGTTTGGTAGCATGTGCATTGGTTTTGGGCAAAAGAGTTAAAGCTGTGCACCAGCTCTGGAGCCCTTGGGTGACCCCCTGGAAATGCTCGTTTACTTGGAGCTCACACCACCATTTTTAGTTGTTATTTATCCTGCAGTAAAGAAAAGCCAGACCTCACTGCCAGGCTTCACAAAGGCCAGATTGATGATGCCGACATCGACAAATGAACATACCATGGCAGCTTGGTCATTCGGCTCAGGTTCACTTCAAGTTCAAATACACTCTATGCCGTAGTGCTGTGCCCATCTCATCCATCTTTTGTCTTTCTATTTTTCTGCTTGTAATTTGTTCTGTAGTTTTCTGTGACATCCGTTTATAGCTTCTCCTGTGGCTCAGTGGTCACGGCAGGTAGGCAGCAGCCGTCTGCAGCAGTGCGTTCCTCGCAGCTTTGGGATGAGAGCTGACCTTCCTGTTCATGGTGGAGGAACGGGGGCTGCGGACTAGCACAGGGCACAGCACAGGCTGCAGAGCTGCAGGCAGTGCCTGCCACTGGGAGATTGAGGCAGCTGCCAGGAGTCCCTCCTGCACCCTCCTCTTCCCTGAGGGCAGGCTTGCCTGGCTGCGGACGGGGGCTCAGCAAGGAGCAGGTTCTGAGAGCCACCGAGCCCCACGCTCTGTGCCACACTCCCTGGCTATGTCTGGGAAAGTGGGTGCAGAGCTTCAAGTCCATTATGTAGGAGAGAAGCAGTGCTTTAGTATTTGTACCAGCTGCTGGGTTTGCTCAGCCTTCTTGGAGAAAACGAGCTCAGCTTGCTCTGCAGCGACCTACAGGAAACACTGGATACTTGAAACACTGGCAGGATACGTGGCTGGGACAGGCATCTACATCTTCAGGATATATTTGTATACTTACTTCTCCCTCTCTAACACTGGGCCAGCAAAGCTGCTTCAGGACTCACCTGCCGAGAACCTTGAGAGATGAGTTTGCTCTCCATGGTGTGGTCCTGCACCACGGCGCTGAGGGGACAGCCTGTTTGAAATGCACAGACAGGACAGATGCAGTTCCTGTGGGGCAAACACAATGAAGGTGTTCTGAACAAAGAGCTGCACCTGCTGAGAGCCAGCTGAGCTCTCAGCCCTGCTAGCCACAGGCTGGAAAACTGGGTGATTCCAAAAGGGAGAGGGCTCGGAGCCAGTACTTGGAAGCACAGCGAGACACTGTGCAGGGTGGTTGACTGTGTCAACTTCTCAGCCCACTGATCAGAGGAAGCTTTTTTTATTGCACTGCTGATTTCCCGAGACCAGGGGTGTCAGGTCAGCATTTCCACTGCAAGGTTTTACTGGCTGCTCCGTAACTTCTGTACTCACAGCAGCAAGGCTGGTCCTTGCATCCTTACAGTGAGTCCTCCATGCTGGCACGTGCCATGGCCAGAACCAGCATCTCTGCATCTCCCTCCCTGTCCAAGAGGTGACTGTGGAAGAGTTGGCCCAGGCAGGAAATGTTCAGGGAGTCTGATGTGGATGTTGTCTGGCTGTGGAGAAGCCTTCTGGAGCATAAGGGGAGGGGAGGAGTCAGTGAAAAGCAGCAGAAGTGAATTTGCAGAGCTTTACCAGATGTTCTTGGCTACCTTGCCTGAATTTGTAGAACAAAACTGGTTTCTAGGTAGTTTAATCTTGTGGCTGATGAAGAATTTAGTTTGCCAAATTATTATACATCTGCAACAGAGACAGAAAAGCGGCAGTGAGGGGTTTGCTTACTGTAAAATACGCCTTCTGATGTGAATTCCTAGTGACACGCTGCCTCCTGGATTCCTCACGGCAAGAAGCCGCTCGTGGCCACCCAGGCCAGGCTGTGCTGTCTGCTGTGTTGATCACGGAAAGGCAAGAAGTTAGTCAGAAAGTGATGTAGAGTGTGAACTTCGTGATAAAATTCAAGTGTGAATAGTTGTAGCAGGTGTCTTCCCTTATGGGAGCACCTCATATCTGTAGTTCCGTAGGAGTAAACAGTGTCAGACTTTTCCTGTGACTGTCCTTGCGTGTCCCCACGGTGTTTGTTGAGGTTTCCTGGGGGCCTCCTGTGCAGTGGGAGGTTGTTGGTAGTCTATAGCATTGGGCTTGTTTGGTTCCCACCCACCACTGCTCCCTCAGTGTCCTGAGCTCTCCAGACTGAACCCGCATGCTGCCGAGCCTGGAGAATTCCTGTCCTGGGCACTGCACATGCCAGGTAGGTGCTGGTGGCACGGGCACCTCCTCTTCTGTGGGGCCCTGGGACCTCCTGGCAGGAGGGAGAGCGGGATACCGGCCCTCACCTCCCCGGGTGACTCTGGGTGAGCCCCAGGAGCCCGGAGAGCTGCTCCTGCTCCTCCCAAAGGGCCGGCACGCCTCGCTGCACCCACAAGATTACCTCAGCCTTGGAGCCTTGAGCAGAGCAGGAGCCCCTGCCAGCAGCGGGGCAGCCGGGGCGCAGCCAGCCCAGCCTCACCGCCCGGGCTGCGCTGCAGGAGGGGAGAGCTGCTCCTCCGCTCACAAACCAGCTCTGTGAGGTGCTGCTCGGTCCATCCACCACAGGGAAACCAAACACTTTGGGTATTCCGCTCGTTTGTTGTGAAATTGTTTCCTAACAGCAACAGGTTTAAATGTCATCGTACAAATGGCAGAGAGAAACCTTTTATGCAGTTGCAAAGTGGTTTTCTAAAATGGTTGGGTTACTGAAAGTGATTTTATTGTGCATTAATCTTATGAATGTTACTATGTTTTATATTTATTTTAGATGACCCTCCTGTATTTTACAAAGGGAAGTTTCATTGTGTGATAACTCCGTCTGTATTCTTAATATAATTTGTTAAATGAAACTTGTTTTAATCAGATAATTCTGTGTGCTTTTGTATTTTAATTTTCTGAATGAAACAACTACCTGGATCAGAAGAGTGAAATACAAAGGTGGCAACACGATTCCCCATAGGGAATGTGCTCTTGTTTGTGGGCTTTTTTCCTTGGAAATTGGATCTAAAAAGCCTTGGAAAATGTGTCCAAAATGTCTTGCCCTACAGGTGTGCTGCCCAGTGAAAACAGGCGTGTTTTGTGGGGCAGGACTGGGTGAAGCCTGGCAGGAGCAATCTCGGCAGAGCAGCGGTGCTGGCAGTGCCGAGGGCAGTGCTGTCGCGGGCAGCCCGTGCCACCCGGGCTCAGCCCGTGGCCACGCGGCAGCAGAGCGGGCTGGCACCTCGTGGCTGGGGCAGCAGCCCTGAGGAAATGGGCTGCTCAGCCAGGGGGAGGCTAACACTGCACTACACTGAAAATTGTTTTTCTTTGGGCTAAATTATTATTCTTCTGAACTTGACCCAAGCTAGTGGTGCACAATCTGACCTCTGGCATCTTCTCACCCCAGACAGTATTTCTGTCTCGCTTATTTTGAGTGCTCTTTGAATTAAGGGAGATTAATACCCAAGTTCCCGACATTCTCTTCAGGCATATGTTTTTATAACCTTTTGAAAGCAGTACCACTTGTTCCACAAAAAACTCAGAAGCAGCATCTTGTGGCTGCCGTGGGAGCTGTCACCGGCACCTGATTGAATGTCCTGCCTGGGGAGGAGGTGCCGTGGGGAGGACATAAACCAGAGTGGGCCCAGCCCGTGCCAGCCCGGG